CTATAATAGTATACGTGACGTAAAGTTTTTTCCGTAGCCTTTTTTTTTTTTGTAATTATTGAGAAAAACTGGATAATGACGAACAATGAAAGCTGATAAATTTGCGTGGCGCTAGGATTCCTTTATTCTAAATTTGTACGACTTATGATTTCTATAAAAAAATATTATTCCAATGAAAAAAATTACAATATACCTTATTAGTTGTATTTTTAATTTAGTTGGTAAGTAAGAAAATCAATTTTTGATTATCTTTATGGTTTTATAACAAATTAAAAAAACGCACCACCCACCCGGGTCCGGCGGGAGTAACTTCGAAAAGCAATACTCCAATTTGGAATTTTGAAATTCCGTTTTGACATTTCGTTTGTGCATTGTTTGTGCATAATTATTTCTGGAGATATCGCAAAAACAAATTTGGAGTCCTAATAAATGACAAATATTCAAATATCAGCAGTTGCTTACTATGATAGCGATAGATATGGAGTTTACATTGATGGAAAAAAAAACACAAGTACATCTTGGCGCTTGGTTTCCGTCTAACTCAGAGATAAACGAAATTTAAATATTAAGAAGTTCGTTTTATTAATCTTTTTTTTTTTTTTACATAAATTTGACTATCAATAAAAGGGTTAAGATGCTTTTCCGTACAAGACGCTGTTTTCCGTCGGTCTCTAGACATTTTCTATACTAGTCAATGTAAATACTAAAAACCACCTGTTAAGACTCTTTTGTTTAGCAGATTACGTTAAATTTTAGTAATTGTGTGATAATAAAAACAGACACTTTACTCGTTTTTGTATACTTATCGTATTTATCGTTGTATTTTATCACTATACTTATTTTATCATTACCTATTTATAACAGTTTTACTACTTTTACTGCATTTCTTCGTATTATGGGATTTAGTAAGTGCAGTTCGTTAGCAAGTGTACAATTGTTATTTCGTTATGGATAGTATAAAACGTAAAGCGCTATCGATTTCGAACAAACTCCACGCTTTGAAGAAATGCGATGAAGGATTGACCGAGAAAAAAACAAAAGGATATCGCTAATGAACTGGGAATACCTCTTATCACTTTAAAAACTTTATTGAAAAATAGACGTAATATAGAACAAAACGGATTAGTAGGTGGGAGGAAACGACAAAAAATGAAGCATGGGAAGTATGAAGAGTTGGAAAATGTTTTATTAGAATGGTTTCAATAAGCTCGCAGTTTAAATTATCCAACAAATGGGTGTGTTATCGTAAAAATGTAATAATAAATTGTTTTCGGAAAGCTGCATTTGATGTGTTAAACGACTCTGAACAGGCTGATAGTTCACCTTTAGAAGAGAAGACTTTCAGCTACTGCAACATTTCGTTGTTGCAACAGTAACGCAACAGCAGCAGACGACGAGCCAGTAGCACTCGGACTTTAAATGAAATGATCTCTGATAGGAACTTAATATAGAATGATAAAGAAGATTTCGGGGGGGGGCACGTCCCCCAATTCCCCCTGGCTACGAAACCGCCTAACAACGTGAATATCATATACGTAGTCTATAGTATAAAATGAAAAAAAAATACTTTTATTTGTATTCAAAGCGTTTTAATACTTTTTCAAAAGTATTTTTACAGCACTGTAGATATTTTATATCCGTACTCAATAGATTATCGAGAGGCTGTTCGTAAGATATATATTTTTGTTTTGTCTGTAACCAACTTTTCGAAAAGAAATATTGCTCCGATGCATAGAGCGTAGCGCATTTTCTACATTTGTAATGTAGAATATTTAAGCGGATCAGATAATAAATTATAGCGGGCGGGCCAGAGTTGAACCGCGGGCCGTAGTTTGGCCCCCACTGATTATTAAATAATCTATTATAAATATGATTATAACATTTTATACGACGTGCAGGTCAGTTAGGGACAATATTCACAGTAGGTAGTGGTATTGTACTCCCGTGACCCGTGTTGACTCGCAACAACATCCGCGTTGACTCTCATTTATACAGATAATAATAATACGGTCGTTTCAATACCATATTAATAATAAGTACGCCGATATTAAATAAACGCATACCAAAATTTTTCACTTGTCGACAACATATACATATTATACACACTGCATTCCATTATAATTTAAACCATACCTACTCTTTTTTTTTTTTATCACTCGTTTTCTCTTTCATCCTTTCCCCTTATCCTTCTCCTACACCACCCCCTTCCATTTTTACTCTTCTCTTTTTGTTCTATTACAAATAAAATGGCAAATATTTACAACACACTGCGACGTTACTGATTTCATTATTTTCGATTAGGCGTTTTCTACTAAAAATATTGCTCCAATATAAAAACGACAAAAGACCTTTTTCTTTTTCCATTTTCAATCTTGTTGGTGTATTATCGTATTTACACATTTATAATGTATACAATCGAGTAGATATAAAATAATATATATATATATATTTTTTTTATATAATATTTTTAAAATCAAATTTTAAAAATACGTAATTATTAGGACCTTTCAAAACACAAATGCTCGAACTTCGCTCTTAATCGTTTTTCCTTAGCAATGGTTCATCGTTGCGTAAACAAATAAATTAAATAACTTAATGTATTCTGCTTTCCCAACTTCCAACCTATAACATTGACTGCACCCGTCCCTAGTATCAGCTCATTTTTTTCTTTGTGTTCGTACCCACAAGAGCTATAACGTTGAACTATTTCAACGCTTTGGTTGTCACCCAGTAACTTAATTAATAAATTATCAACGGATTGATCGACAGAAAAATAGACTACATCATTAGTCATAGGTTCTACTGAATAAAATTGTTTTAAAACATTTGCACGTTTTCGGTATGTTTAAACTGAAGTTAAACCATTTCTGATTAAGGCAAAAACCGGGTGCAATAATGTAGTTACATTTTTTTTTTCATCAACATACATTCCATATTTATCGCTATCACAGTAAGTAACTGCTGATATTTGAATATTTGCCGTTTCTCCAGCCCCCTGAATTTAATTTTGGGATAATCACCACAAAGTTTGTACACAAACGATGTATAAACGGACAGCCTAAACAGAATTTCAAAATTTTAAATTGGGAAGGAGCTATCGTTTTTACGGCTCTCTCAACTTTGATTTAGGAATAATCTCTACAGTTCAGAAAAGTTTTTGGAAAGAGGAGAGAGTGGAAGACCAAAAAAATGGGTTTGGATGTAATTGAGAATGATAGAGGATGGCAGGTGTATGTAAGGACGATGTGAGGGATCGGGTGTCACTGTTTTTACTAAATTTAATCTTTCTCTTTTCCACAAATACACGTTTCCACTACGTATCCCTTACCGTTTTCCACAAACATCCTTTTCAATTAAAATCGTCATTTTTCTTTTTCACTAAATTATTTATTATATTGTAATATACAGTATCATGGGTAGTAACGAGTGACCAATATAATTAACGCGTATATTATTTATTTGTTTTATTAACGCCAAGATGCAGCAATTATGTAGGTATAAAAAATACCTCACACATGTGTGATACTGGCAGTTGGACATTTTAAAAAAATAAAAAATAATAATACAAAAAAATTTTACTTATAATATTCAATATTGTATACATGTACAGCTATAATTAATAATTACCCTACCTCCCATCATAATGTTTATATAAAAAATGTAAATAATTTAAATATTATATTATTATTCTCTTGAGTCGGGCCGTAATATTATAAATAAAACAAATTCTAAAAAAAATCGTTAAATATAATTTATGCAATTTTTTTGTATATATTTCGAAAAGATATTATCGAATTCGTGAAATCAAATCAATTATTACTGACTAATAAAAAAAAAAAAAAGGTAACAGAGGTACGAATGAAGTATGAAAATCCAATATTTTATCTTCATTTTTTTTTTCTTTAGGAAAATATTATAAAATAACGTCATAATATAAAAGTGATAATATGTCGATATATTATGTATAAAATATTTTGAACAAATTAATTATTTTGTTGTTTGTTTAAATATATTGTTGCTGATTTCGCGGAACTCGGTTTCGACGAAAAGCACTCTCATTTACTCGGAATTCGCTTCACTTACCTACGCACTCGTTAACAGCAATGTCCTCTGACCAAAAAATTATAAATAATTCAGTAAACCCTCTTTGGATCTAACAAATCCCATCTTGTTTCACGAGATCCAAGTCAGATGTTTATAGATGGATTTTGAAAATTAAATTATTTTAAACCTTCTTTGAGTAATAGGTATACTTAGCTAAATAAAAAACCTAAAAAAATCTATACCTATAGTTACAAACCACACGGGGTGATATTTTTATCGTTGAACACTCATAATTCCATAAGATATAGACTTTTACAAAAATGTTTTGACAGTTTAAGAAACAAGCTGATCTTAAGTTTTACATAATTATTAGTTTTTTCAACCATATTTTTGGGGGTGAAATGGCTATCATCTTTTAATTTTCAAATGGTAACCTGTATTAAAAGTTCCATTTATTGATTGAGTATTAGTTTGAATAAATTCCGGTAGTGAAATTTTTTATCTCCATTCACGAGAAATTCCAATTTTAAGTTTCGATAGAGGGAAAGTAGTGGAGTGTCATTGTGTATCAGCACGGCGCGCAGGCGTTCAAATAGTGCTCTTTTGAAATAAGTCTATACTTTGCGATTTAATGAGTGTTCAACGATAAAAGAATCGCCCTTTATATCTTGTAATTAAACCAAAAACGTCTCGATAGAAAAAAACTACGTATCTATACTATACGAGTTACGCTTAAAAATGCAATATATAATAAAATGTCTTGTTTAAAAAAAATCGAAAAAGATCTCACTCGTATATAAGTTACTATCCTGAGGCTTACCAGGCACCTGACATAAGAAGTAGATCATCAATAGCGTTTATATTATATAGCTGTAAGTATACTACAGGTAAACAAAACGAAAAAACTAAAGAAAATACAAAACGTCACGGACAACTTTCGGTGTGGTTTGAGCCCGCTAAGAGACTGAGTAGGCACCAGGGAGATACCCCGGTTCACGGCCAGAGCCGCTTGCGAGGCCGTTCGGCTTTTCGAGTTTTCCTCGAGTCACAATATCACTCCAGTGACAGCCACCACGAAACCATTCTGCCTTCGACAGGAACTCGGCCGAGACCAGAAGCCTGCCGACGTGACCGGCCACCGCTACAATTGTTTGAGGCAGCATGGGCTCCCGCCATCCCGTGATACCAGCATTTGCATCGCTGGTAAAATGCTTGACCGAGAGCATCGTCAGGCCGTAACCCTCCGCTGTCAGTCTACTCGGATTGGGGAGCGTCGCCGAGCTCTGGTTAAGCTCTTACACGAAGCGCTCGCTCGAGCTTTGCTGCCCCTTTTAGTCGCCTTCTACAATATTAAGCAGGGCTTGCTGTTGCCGCCATTCTGCTCCCCAGACAACAGAGAGTATAGGGATTATCAGTTGCTAATAAATTGTGTGTTTTAGATTTGTAGTCAGACTACCTGCAGGTACCATTGTCTGAGAAGGCAAAGGCGAAGACTACGTTTATTACACCGACGGAGACCGGCCAGTTCGAGATAATGATCTTTGGACTGACCAATGCACCTTTTGTGTCCTCCAAACTGATGTGTGTAATGTGTAAACTACGAAATAAAGTTGCAGGGTGGTACTTGGAAGACGTATTGATTCCAGCTAATGACTTCAATATTTTGGAAAGACTGGAGGCAGTGTTTGTGGCATTGAAGAATGCGAATTTAACGTTGAAACTTAAGAAATGAAGATTTGGTTGTGAAAAAGTAGATTCCTAGGGTTAAATTTATGCATTGGAGGACGAGACCTAGGTCTAGTAAAATAGAAGCAATCAACAAATTTCGAGCACTTCGTAATGTTCACGAAACCAGACATTTTATGGGGCTCATGGGATATTTTTAACGATTTATACCAAGCTATACTAAAATTGTTCTTCCTTTAAGTAATTTGTTACGAAAGGAGAACCAGTTCGTGTAGAGGTCCGGAACAAGAATTAGTCTTTGATAAACTAAAAGAACTGCTAACCAGTAAACCAATTCTAAAATTATACAGCCCTAAGGACAAGACAGAACTGCATTGTGATAAGAGCTCTTTCGGGCTGAGTGGTATTATACTGCTGCATAAGGATGGGAACGGACGTGAGCATATGGTTTATGCAGTATCAATGAAAATAACGGCAGCAGAGGCGATATACCATTCAACAAAACTGGAATTAATTGTGCTGGTGTGAAGTGTCACTAAATTGCGGCACTTACTGATAGGTATTAAATTTACAGATTTCCAGGCTATCACGCACATGTACACTCATGTACACACAGAGGACTCAAAATCCACAAATTGCCAAATGAATGAAATTACTCTGTGAGTTTGACTTTAAGATTGTGCATCGGGCAGGTGATAAGATGTCACATGTGGACGCAACAAGCCAAGCACCGGATGGCGGATCAGCAGACAGCATGAAGGAGGTCATATAGATAAATTATGGGAGGTGTCTTACTGTATATGCAAAAGCAACGTTTCGAAAGCCTAACAGGACATTTTTCAGTGGACAAAACAGTGGCCAAAATCAAGGAGAGGTACTATTTTCCTAAAATGAGAAGATACGTAAAATACCATATCAATTGTAATTCTGTTGTCCGGAATGTCTGTTATACATGATTCCTAGAGGGAAAAGCCATTGGGAACTGCATCCAATTATACCAAGGAAAAGGCCTACCATATTTATAAAATAAAAAAAAAAAAATTACTACTACTGATCATAATCGATAATTTAACTAAATGTGTCAAAATATATGCAGTTAGTAATACAAGTACACAAGCATTTCTTAAGTGTTTCAAGTCATTTGTGTTGGGTTATGGAACACCTAGGGGGATCATCAGTGACCAGGGTTTCTGTTTTACTTCCAAAGTGTTTGCTGAATATTGTACATTGATTGGTATCAAACATTCTCTGATTTCAGTAAGACATTCTCAATCGAATAGACAGGTCGAGAGAGTTAACGCAATCCTTGTACCAGTCATTCAAGTTAACATGTTATAGGAGAGCGTTTCAGATGTTAAACTCAAAAGGGTTGAGTATCAGCTCAACAATAGTTTCAATAAAACAGTTAGGGACACGCCATTTCATGTGTTGTTTAGTTATGAAACGGACATACAGAATGAAGCACTGTCGAGTGCAATAGAAGGGAGAAATTAATGTCAAGACTCTAAGAAACTGTAGATAATAATAAGGGAATGAATCGCAAAGGAACATGAAATCTGGAAGAAGCAATATGGCACTAGTTGTTCTATGAATATCAAGTATGATTTAGGTGAAATTGTGTATTTGAAACTTGCGCCGAAAAAAAACGGAACAGTCAGTATAGTTACAATCAAAATTTAGAAGCCCAGTGATTAAAGTGGTTAAGTGATTAAAACAAACTCAATATAAAGTTATAGGGTGGCAGCACTAACTAACCGAAGGGATAGGCAATATATTACAACGACCCATGTTCCCGATTTGAAGTCGTCCCATTTACCAGAAAAAGATGATGGAGAGAAGGGAACAGTTAATTATTATTTTTTTAAATTATTTTATGTACACTATTAAATAAATATTATGCAAGAAAATATATTATAACGCCTATTTAATTATTTTACCAAAATATGACTTACATATTGTCGAAAAAACATCACTAACAATTGCAAACCGTTCAGAATGGTTTTTTCGTTAAGTTTATCGTTGCTTACAGATATAAATTAAATTACCTATAACAGTAACTGCACCCGTCTCTATTATCCTAGGACAGCTTTTTTTTTTTTTTTTTTTTTTTTTTTGTTATGAACCAGTAATTTTCTCGGAGGGTTTTAAGTAAACTTTTATTTATTTATTAACAGTGGCCTACCTACGTGCAAAGTGGACCGGCTTTTTGATTTTTGACCTGTGTAATAAGAGAAAAACTTAGGATTTACTGGTAAATTTTAGGTTTCCTCGGTATTCTTACTTTTACTGTAACATATAATACATAATATATATATATGAACTATGTAATCTCTTGGCGTATATACTGCTGTTCAAAACCAAAACTTTTCCTCTTTCTCGCGCAAACGTACTTATGTCCTATTATAGTATAGTATCGATCGACCAAGTCTAGGCAAGAGGGCAGAATTGTACGTGTTTTTTTTTTTTTATGTTTTGTCTGCGTTCCGCAGGTCAACCATTACCAACAATCGAAACGATTACTATTTACAAGTATATATCTAATATATTATACATGTAGACTCGACAATTTTGATAAATAAATATTTGCTTGCCTACCTATAAACAATATTAAACATTGTTATTTACCGTCGTCGTCAATGCTATTTTTCCGTGTAAGTATTATGAAAAAATACAGACATACTACACACACAATGGGTGGGCCGCTGTTGTAGGTGAGAAGTTGGAAAAGTAGGATATAGAGGGAAATTTAATGTACACCTGTACGCAACTATTAATTTTTACTTACGAAAAAAGATTCTGATCTTTTATAACCGGCTCTTTAGAAGTTTCGCGCATAGGTGTGTTTAGTTACCATCAATCATATTGGTTTAAACGTTATATATTTATACTAAAATCGCTCGCATTGCAACGTGGTTTCTTAGTAAATTATTCGAGGGCCGCTATGCAATATTATACCCCTGATTCGGCCTCGGCTGGGCGGATTTGACAGCCCGTTCCTCGATCGGTTAAAGTAGATTCGGCGCGCAAACGGTCATCGTCAAGGGCACCCGCAGGGGAGTGCCGGTGAAAGCCATGGCCCCCCCCGCTATTTTAGTTAATATTGAATATTAATTGTTTTATTACTTACATGGCTTAAATATTTAAGCCATGATTACTTATAAGTTGTAAAACAAAGCTTATACTTTTGACTTTGCCCCTCCCCTCCCCGGTTAATGTTTCTGCCGGCGCCCTTGCCTGTAATAAATTTATTCGCCCAATATTGCACTATTAATAACATGCCTATACATTCTATACTGTGTTATATTAATATTATATTGTAATATATTATCAAAGAGAAGAAACGTGGCCCGTAAAAATATATATTTTTTTTTATTTTTGTCGACCCTTTCACTGTACATACTCGTTAAATCATAATGACTATTATTATTAATATTGAATAATATATACGCGCAAGGAAAGGATTTTCCGGGTAAATCTTTAATTTAATTTTTTTTTTTTTTTTTTTCTGTCATTATTCATTTTAATAATATACTAACACTCTGACAATCAAAAGCGGTTCTATTGAAATTTTATTATAAAAGTCAACAGTAAAATATTACGCTATAATAATATATAGTTAGGAAGTTTGTTTTTACCTGGTAATAACAATAATAATTAATAATAATAATAATTTTCTTCGGAAGTATAAAAAGTTGTTATTAAAAACATAATATGATATAATAATAATATATTACCTTTACAAAGTAATAAAATGGCGACTGCCTTTACAAATCCAGGGTGGAGGAATAACAGGTTATGGAACAACGTAATATTTATTTAATTGTATTTTTTAATAATACAGACATTTTTAAAAAAAAATAAATAAGCAATTTATTACCCTTCCCTGCTCCATCAGTATAAACTTAAAACTGTTATAATTCATAAACGGCCAATCTGATATTAGTGTTATGCATATCAACATTTCTAGAAAAATATTCTCTATGCAAATATGTGTTCAAAAAGTTGGATAACTATTTGAATAACAGAAGTATACACTTATTTAAGGTATACGGAGTAGGGTTAAAAATTAAAAATGGGTTTAAAATAATCGATTCCACGATGATTAAAATAGAAAGACCGACATAACATGCAGAGGGGGTGCCACCTTTGTTGTAGGTGGGAAGTTGGGAAGGAGAAGGTAGGATGTAGAGGGAGGAAACTGATTTGTATCCGTAAGCAACGAAAAACAATTGTCAACGAACAATTCTGAGCAGAGTTCAGTTGATAGTGTTGCTTTGCTAACAATATGTACGTCATATTATGATAAAATAATTAAATAGGTATTATATATTTTCTTTAATAATATTTCTTTAGTACTATACTGATTTTCCTACATTTTTCCTGGTTTTCGCATGTTTTTCACATTTTCTAGGAGAATTCTTGGGAAAATCAAAAAGTGTCCATTCTAAAATACCACCCTAGTTAGGTTTCCATTCAGAAACAGTGCTAAACTTGAAAACAGGAGCAAAAATACTTAAAAAAATTAAAAAGTTGTTCACAGAAAAATAAAAAGATTGTGAACGACATTGTAAAACCAATTCAATCCTGGCTGTGTTCAGAATCTAAAACATGTAATAATAATAAATACATAGTATCTATAATAAAATAATTACATAAGACTACAATAGAAATTTGACTTTTGTACAAATAAAAGTTTTGGAACTTTTAAAACAATTTGATAACAACTAAATCGATTGAATGTATATTCCAACGTACGGAAGAAATAAATTGATAGTAAATTCCACATCTGTTAATTGTTATGTAAAACCACGTCGGGTAAGTTACAGGGTGTAAAAAGTTTCGTTTATTTTCTAGATTTTTAGTCTTCTGTTATCATAGAGGAACTACTGTCCGAGTCTCTTATTATATATTTATCTATCTATTTCGATATAGAATCGAGTGGCCCGTCTACATAAATTAATATAATGAGCTCGTGAAAGGATTAAGGAATATTAAGTGTATTCTATGTATACCTATGTAAGGTGTCGACCTCCTTTTCTTGGCTGTAGTTTTTCTTGACTGTATGTTTTCCATAACTGTGCTATAATTGGTTAGCCTAAAGGATTAACCGAGGAAATAATATGAATTATGTATAATTATATTTATCGATTTAAGGAAAATCTCTTATTTTTTTTTTTTTTTGATAAAAAATACGAAAAAAACGCAATAATCATAGTGATTTTTAGTCTATAGCTTCTTTAGAAGTAGTTATTTTATTACAATAATGATAGGTAATTTTTATTAAGTCAAATCCATATTCTACATTTTTCTATGGTGGAACACCCGTGTACGATTATAGTATTACGTATGTCCATTATAATGTAATGTATTACTTCACGAAAGAAGATCATGTTCATCATAAATCCCTAATCCCATTGATTACAGAGTTCTTTTGGCGATTTTTTTTTTCTCTCTATTCGTCATACACAATATATTGACGAATTATATTATATAGGTCACGGCGGAATATAATATAAAATATTATAAGTTGTGCACATTTTTTTTTTTTTTCAATATTGAACGTAATAAATCATTGCGTATTACCGTGAACAATAGTTTTTTTTTAATTTTTTTTTTTTTTTTTTTTATACAAGTACCAACCTACAATATATTATAAATGACAATAATTGTACCGATTTGAAAATCTGAACCGAATAACGAGGAAACTGATAATCATTACAAATATTATACTGTATGTCTTTTTTTTTGTCCAGACGATTTGGAAAAGTGAACTATAAAAAAAAAAAAAATTCTAATTATTTACTATAGATAATTGAACGTTTTACTTAATTATTAAAAAAACTAGATAAGGTGCAGTGATAAAGTTCCTCTAGAGAAATATTTTCTGATATATGTTATTGATAATTTTCGTTTGTCAACACTATTATAGATAGAATAATCTATGATCGTATTTGTCAATTTATCCAGTGTTCATATTTCAAATACCGTGATTTGCCAAATGTACATTTTTTAATTAAGTTATTTTATACATTTACCAGTGTCAACAGCAACGCCTTGAAAAGGTTGAAAACATATCTAAAATCAACAGTGAATGAAGTAATCTTTTAATTATTGTGATAGTATATAATTTATATTAAAACAATATAACTTGTAAAATTATAACTGTATTTTTAATTGTATTATTATGTAGACGAGGCCGAGATTAGATTTTGTACTATAAAATAAAAAATAAATAGCGATTAATTTATAAAATAATTTTTTTTAACACATTGTAACAAATTGAATTTCAAAATCAGCGTGTAATCGGGGGGGATGTGAGGGGCAAAGCCCCCACCTCCCTTACATTTGTTTAAAAATTTTAGCAGGGCTCCCTTCATTAAAAATTCCCAAACACGCAGCCGGTGGTGGACAGGCACAAACAAATATCCCCGACCAGATCAAATCATCCCCCGAGACATTTTATTTCCATTGTAATATTACCACAGAATAGATGAATGTTGATAATATATACACGCCGACGGAACCATTCCGTGATGCCGCGTTGAAAATCTAAAATTAATACTACTCATTAGATTGGGTCACTGTTTTTCGGTGGAATACACAGGGCAATATTTAGTTTGTGTCATACTCTAGCTGTATTGGGCTACGACTGCATTGGACCCGTTTCCGATCCGATCGGCCAAAAAAACCATAAAACGTGTTACTTACTCGCCAACTAAATTAAAAATTCAACAAAAAAAAAAAAAAAAACAATTTTATCCTGACAACTGTCGAACATGCGTAATACGCGTAATAACACGCGGAGATCCATGAAATGTGTAATTTTTCTTTGAAATGAACGAAACACGCTTAATGTGCGCGTTTTAAATGTTCGATTTTCAAAACCTCCGTTGCGCGGAAATAACGTCTGGCTTGGTCTGCCGTAAACCCGGCGCGCGCGCGCAGAACAATATGCGACCCCTGTAACTTCCGAGCCCCCCCCGATTATGAGTTTGTTAACATTAAACACGTTACATTTGCGGTACGCGATAGAGAGACGGACAGGAAAACAAAAAAAAAAAAAAAAAAAAAAAAAAACCCGTACGCGCAACGTTCCAGTGATACCGGCGCGCGTTCCGTCCGTCGACGTGATACCCGAGACCGTACCGCCGGCGTTGTATCGCGAGCAGCGTGCCGCCCAGCGCCCGTTTCGATCGCACGTGCGCGGCATTTGGTCGTGCCGCGTGGCGCATACCGGCGCGGCCCCCCGGGGCCCCGGAGTTCGTGATGTAGTCGCGCCGACGCCCAGTGGCGCAATCACAGAACAATACTACAACAACGTAACAATTCTATGGCTCGCGCGGCGATAATTTTTAATAAAATGTCATTATACGTTATTAATTGATAATTTATTACGGGCACCCACGTTGCCGAAACTCGCCCGCGGTCGTCGCCGCAATGGGTATTTACATTGCATTTCGAAAACGTGCGTGAACACACATTCCTGCGGGCGTTGCGTAACACCCACAGATATCGGATATCGAGCTGAACGTCGGAAAACTATAACCGCGTGTACCGGCACTCCTCCCAATCACGTTCCGGCGCGTTTGTCGTTTTGACATTTTCATGCGCAAATTACGTGTGGCCTATCCGTTCGACGATCCGCAAACGTCATTCGCTACGCTCGCCGTCTAAAATCAAACACCATTGTTGTTGAAATCGCACGAGTATTACAAGGCAAATGTCCGTTACGTATCCAATATTGGATTATATTGGATATTGCAATATCCAATATTGGATCACCGGCTGTGACAATCTGTATAACGTACAGTGTTTAGCAAAACTTTATTCAATTTTCAATAACAATTTGTGAAGCTATGAACGCGGGTGAATTGGGTTTCCTCTGGATTTAATGTCCGTTGGCAATGCTATGGGTAGGTGAAATACTCAAGTACAGTAATTCAGTTGAACACTAGATAGCGCGAGCGCGTCGTAGGCAAGGCCTCCGCGAGGACGAAATCTTATGAAGAAATCATTTTGTACCAACGGTATAGGCATGCACATTCCACAGTCCTGTTTATACGTCCGTCGTCTATACCTAGTCTCTCTAGCCGTCACGATTTCCCGTGGTTAACAAAGATGCCTATTAAGATGTAAAGATTACTTTTTTGTTCACGCGGTTTTCGTCGGGCATTACGCCGTCTGTATTAATTCTTATCAGTGTTGTCCCTCAACCCCCCTCCGGTATAGGCGTGCACAGTCCTCTATGTGAACCAAATCCCGTCAATAAATCCGCTCGTGTTTTGGAAACCACTGATCTATACTCATAAGTAGTGTGGCCGTGCTCCGCGTACCGTGTGGCGTTTATTAAAAGCGAAAACTTGTTCCGTTATGGTTGTGGGTTAACCTTAAACCTTATTAAACACTAAACGATTTCGTTTATTTTGCCACGAGACTCCCGTGCGTTCGCAACCGACATTGTAATATTTTTTGCTGCTCTTATACCAAATTAACTGAATTAATATTTTTAATTTTTTTGTTGATGCTTTGTTGTTAAAACTAAATTATGCCACTATATCATTGGCCATTTTATTCTAACGATACGAATATTTCACGTAGGAAACGATTTCGTAAGTATTATAATATATTCTTTGTATCTCTTCTTACTAAAAAATCCGTGTCGTCTCCTTACAATCTGGATTTCCATTCTTCTCTGTTCATACAATCAACTTATGTAATCATTTTTTTTAAATTCTACATTGGTTTCATCTTCCTTTATAGTCCATTATTCTTCTCTAAATTCACATTTCCATTGCCTCTAACGTTTGCTTGACCTCGCATTACTATAATAGATACCTACTCTACACGTGGTATTTAGCAAATTTTTTTCCCGTCTTTATATAAAAGTTTTTTTTGTTTGTAATTTAGTCAGTGCTTAATTGTGTTTTTTTTTTTAAATTAATGCCTAGATTAATGCTATTTTAGTATATATGTACAGCATCAATTATTATATACTTATCCTTACCTAAAACAAAAATGTATGTGTGTTACATGTATTATGATATCTATAATACATAAATATTAGGATTAGCATGTTTTATATTGTATCTATAATTACAAAATTATTATTTATATTTATAGACAGAGCGTTTCTGAAATTCCGCCTTCCAAAACTTCTGCGCAAGATCAAAAAGGGTTTCTGTTGAAGTCTACATGGCTAAATCCTGCAAATACCGATAACCAAACCAGTCAAATATTATAATGTTTTCCTATAATATTTTATTATTAATTTTATGTTTTTAATATGATTTATTTGTTATTAAAATTAATGCTGTCTGCAAGGATTGGGAAAACTATGTATATTTTCTACTGCTATCTGGCTTTCTATTTTATTGGTGCAATAATAAGTGAGTATTTATTATTACTTTAATCTAGTATTAAATTATAATATATTTTTATTTTATTTTATTTGTTTCGTTATTGCTAATTGGCAATTTTGTAAGTAAACAAGATATTAAACATACATCAAGATTTGTATGATACATAGTTTTTATATCAGATACAATTTCAGGTAGATACAGTAAGCTATTGAACACAGATGCGATGAACTTGAAAACTACCGCATTTGAGAGTTAGGGTATGTTAAAGTATGAAGCGAAGAATGGGAAGCTATGTTGAAGGTGATATATTTTTAGAAAATATGCAGTATAGGAGAGGAATCTGCTTTAAATTCATTCTAATACAATAAAATCTTCCAGTAATTATGGATGTCAAATTTTAGGATAGAACTAAAGAAAAATAAAGGAAGCGAATGCCAGTTAGCAAACTTTTTGTTTTGTCTTTAAGCGTTTTAAAAATCCTTAAACTTTGTAAGTTTAACTAATGGTAGTATTAATGTGATGGTCAAAGTTCAAAGAAGGTATGCAATGTATACTAAGATCTTTGTACAAGTAAAAGTACTACAGAGAAATATAATTGAGAGAATAAAAGTAATAAATTGTATTAGATTGGTTGGAGAAAGACAAGACGTGCCTGATCTTCAATTTTAGATTCAGAGTATGGTGATAAAATTTATTTGTCTTACAGTGGTGTGAGTTGTCTAACATCAATACGGACCACCTCTTTAGCTTTCATTTTTAATTTTTGTTCGTGCACATTGTTCTGAACAAATGTTTTCTCTTCATTTTGTTTTTTTTCTCTTTTTGTATTATTTTATCTCTACCCATGTTTTTTTTAACTGTTATTCAATTATATTTTATTTTCCTCCATGTACAATAATAATACTATTTTGTAAAGGGTTTGCTGTTATTTCATAATAAATAAATAATAATCGGGGAAACCTGGGATACATATGCATTGTTAACAAAGCAACCCTATAAACTGAACTCTGCTCAGGATCCTGTTTTTGTTATGAATAGTTTATTTTTGTGTACAAATATACATTCAATTTCCATCTATATCCTACATTCCCATCTTCCACCTACAACAGTGGTTGCACCTATCCCCATTATCCTAGGACAACTTTTTTTTTTTTTTTTTCTAATAAGAATTTTAATAATAATAATAATATCAATTTAATGAAAATCACAAATATTATGATCTCAAAAGCTGCTTTCTTTCAATTAAAAAAATTTAAAAAATACTTGCAAATCTAAAAATAACCTTACAGTTAATATTGCAGGCTATTATTGTAAGAAAAAATTATGTTGGTTTTTTTCTTTAACACTGTATCATTATTACTAAAAGTCAGTAAATTATCTGTTATAAAAAGAATTGTATCTCTGTGAATAAGATTCTATGCCATGATTTAACAATGGAAATATTAGATACCTATGTCCCAAGTTTATAGATGTTTGTAACTATTTTTGGTGTTATTTTATCCTTTGCTTAGTCGATATATCTAAACTTCAAAAAATTTTATATATATTCACATAATAAATATAATTCTTTAATTATGCACAACTGATCTTTTAGGTATATTATTAATAGTCAAAATGGTAGCAGATTGGAAGATTTTGAAAATTTTTCAATGTGTATCAACCATAACATTCATATTATTATGTCTTTATCACAAAAGTTTGCTTGTGAGTATATAATCTGATGTTTATTTACTGTGACCTACTAATAATAATAATAATGATTTTATATTGTTATCAGTTGCACAATCAAAACTATAAATTGTTAACAAGGAAATACTGTCCAATGAATGTAGTAGACCATACTAAAGTGGATCCAGTTCAACTTTGGCAGTTGTATTGTAAATGAAGATTCGTAGATGCCTCAAAAATATAATCAAAATAGTTAGATCTAGAATATATTTTTTATTTTAAAACAGTATGAAAACAAAATAATTGCAAACAAAACATTATTCTATATTTCAATCATTTAGTTTTAATAATTTAATACCTAATATATATAAATTGTGTCTTATAATAGAGGAACATAATTTATATGAACAATATGTATATATACAATATATACATATAGGTACAATCACACATTCCAATCATAAATCTACACTTTTAAAATGTCATTAAACAATGTTAGATATAAAAAAACATTAATAAAAAATTGGTAAAAACTATGAAATACACTATAAATAATAAAACTATAATTTATATCAATTATTTTTCTTCATTTTGTGTCAGTTTTTCAATGTTTTTTCAAACACTGTTAGAAATTTAAAATTGATATCAGGATTACACAAATTACATTCAAATTACTATCGGATATCTCCCTAAGGTGCCCCTTAATGGAAGTACATTTTATTCTTATTATTAATGTTAAGTATTTTAACTGATTTTAGAGTATTCTGTGTAGCATTAGTTATATTGTAGGTACCTATTTATTTTATAATACAGGTTATTTCTCAATTATTCTGTTTCAAAAATGTATTATTTGAATAATGTTCTAATACATAAAACTTATAAATGAAATTATTACCAATCTACTATGCTGTTATCCTATACATTTATATGATACCTAAATACACAGTCTAATAAATAGTTTAAATAGTTATTTTATTAATTATAATTTAATAATAATATTCTAATTCTAAAAGCTTTTTGTAAATTTATTAAATTTGCCCTGAAACAAATTATCCAACATTTGTATCTACTTTTAAAACAATTTAGGTCGAGCCATATAATTATTTCATATTTTAAGTAAAGTAATTATAAAAAAATTGTATTGCATTCTCCAAAGTGTTACATGAATCAAAGAAGTATTACATACTTAGTATACAAGTATACATGTTTTTTGTTTATAATATTTGAATGCGTTTGATGAACTTTATTTTGGTTAAATAACTTATCCTAAAACCGTATCTTTAACCTAGATCTACATAAAATCATGTTTTGTTTGCAAAAAGTTTAGATATTTTTAAAATAAATCACGGTTCTGATATTGATATATTTATAAAGACTGTATACAATGCAGTTTTGTTTATATATTTAATATCTTATCAATGAAAGCCTAAAGTGGACGTTCCATTACATCATGCACTGTGTTCTATGTATTTATATATTCTGATTAGCTGAATCAATTAGTACATGGTATCAACCAAACTGTTAAGACAATCAGAATATGTAAATTTGTGTATGGGATACAATGGGTGCACCATGTTTTGGAAACTCCCCTCAACACACATATTTATTTACATGTATGTGGTTTTATAAATTATATGTAGGTATAGCCTGGAATAGTGATTTAATTTGTATTTTTTTTTTTTAATTTTAGACTTGAATTTGAATCATTAGTCATGACTCAACAGTTTATTAATTTTAAATTTAGTATATATAACTTGAACACTACTTTAATTTTAGATTTATTCTACTAAAATTGAATACCCACAACCCATCATCTATTTTCTAAGAATTTTACCTATGGTACACTCACAAAAACTCGACCTCTTAAAATAGACATCAATATTGACAAAAAATTTCTTTCAAAACTTAATGTGCTTGAACTTAACTCAAATACATTTTTTTTTTTGGTATAATTAAAAAATAAACAAATAATATACAATACTTATTGTATTATTATGAATTTTTAATAAATATGTATTACATTAGAATTAATAGGCACCTACAACAGATAAGCTCTACATGTGATAAACTAAGATCACTTAAAATTGGATACCATAGTTAAGATAAAATACTAAAATGGAATGGATACATTATTTAGACATATACATTTAATATATAATAGTTTTTTTGAACACAACCTAAATCTTAATATAAAATGTAATATGTATATTATTTTATAAATATAATAAATTAAATGTGCAGTTATAAATAATCTCTTAAAATATTCAATCATTGAATAATATAAATTATACTAAAAATTAAAATTATATACAATTTATTTATATTACATTTTAAATACTATTTCTAATGTTTATTATAATTAAAATGTGTTAACATATTACATTAAAAGTTATCCTTACTTAATTTAATTCATGATTACTGTATATTGTTTATTAATTTTTTTTTCTGTTTCATTATGGTTAAACAAAATTTAATTTGGGTTAATACCTATACATTAAGTATATTCAACCTCCAGAAACTGAATTCATTCTAAGTTTTAATTGTATACTTTTTAATAAGTTTACCTACATAATTGGGCATACTTATACTAATAAAACAAATTGTATTATGTAAATTTTCACTTATAATTCTATCTAGTTTGTGCAGATTATGATTAAAATATTATATTATATTAGTTAATATGTTTTAATACATTTTTACTGTTATAATGTATTGTAATCAACCATTAAAATAATAAACTATATGCTTTATTTATTGTAGTAGAAAATTATTTTTTTTGTAGACATAAAATATATTATAATTCATTTTGGTATTAATTGATATTAGTGTATTATTATTGGTGTACCTATTAAAAGAATCATCTAACAATATAATATAATATTTATTTTTTTGTTGATACATTTTTATATAATAAAATGTCATAATACTAATAATTGGCCATATTATACATACTTGTTTTAAAAGGTATAATAAAAAAATTAAAAATTAAATAGATTTTCATGGATTCTTACATATCAATAATTAATGTAAACTCATTTTGCATTTAAAAAGCAACAAAAACTTTTAAAAGTTATCCTTAAATCAGTTGCAGAGAAAACCCAAGAAAGTCACTTTTATTCCAAAATTGTCATATTGTTATCAACCATTTTTTTTTGCAATTGTAGTGGAAAAATAAATAAGCACTAGAAGTTTAGGTTTATAGGAAAAAGACAGGTCAGAAAACCAGATAAGTGTTGGATTAATACTTAGCTATAACCATGGTTAATAATATAACATGACATTGTATTGTAACTGGATTTCAAGGTCTTAAATTTAATCATTTAATCTGAACTTTTTACTTTTTTCAAAAAACAATTGTTTAGCTTAGGTATTAAATATTAGGTTAGGTGAAATTAAAAACATATTTTTCTCAGATTAAAAGAAAAGTTACTTCTGAGTTTTTCCCCATTCAACTGTTTTTGAATTTGTGAGCAACAGAACTCTATATTTTCTTTTTCATAATCATCATTTAGTACTTATAAATATTTAATTGACACTTATACTGTTGTATAGGGCAGTGATCCGGGCACTTAATTATATAAATGTGCTATTTTTTTAAAAAAAAAATCATGATTTTCTAAGAGCTCCATAAAAAAAACCTATCATAGTACAAAAAACCAACTTATAATTTTATCAATTAATTTCATTTGGAATTGGTAGGCATTAAAAACATAATAATAAATCTTAAATTTAGAAAAACTATTTCATTAATACATTATTATTATTATTGTTAATACAAATATGATATATTACAATTATACACAAAAATGGAATTATAAACAAGTAGATACCTACTGTTTACTGTTGGTCAGTTAATCTAAGGTTACTAGATGCAAATGCAGTATGTATCAAGAGCATCTCTAGACCTTGTCTGTGGGGTGGTGGGGGGAGGGAGCGAAATTATTAAATTTAATATTAATGATCGATAAGAAAAAAAGACTGACATACTTCACACAATAGGTGGACCATTGTTATAGATGAGAAGTTGGGAAGGTATGAGAGGTTGAGAGAGAAATTTAATATATATATCTGTACCTAAGCAACTTTAAACATTGCTGTAATAAAGTGTTTATTGAGGCAATATATTAACTAAAAAAATTAATTTAAGCTACAGGAAAACGTGCTTACTTGTATGCGTTGACCTCTCTTTATTCAACATAACAATAGTCAGTAGTATAACAATAATAATCATAGGTACTAGTTATCATATCAGTTATACCAACTATTAAAATTGCCAACAAAAAACCATTCTGAGCGGAGCTCGGTTAAGTCAGGGACGTCTTCGGTTCAATTATATTAGCTTAGAAGACTGCAGATATATTGTACAAATACAGTAATTCAGTACAATTTAAGTTAAATTAAGTGATTAGCCTGTTAGATTCTGCTCAACATTTTTTTTCACCACAAAGCACGACTTTTAATGAGCCTCTTGTTAAATTCTCAAGCATTTCTGTTTGGTTTAAAAATTTCATTTTCTGAGTACCTACCGAAAAACTAGCAAAAATAAATTGCTCAAAAATGTTACCACGTCAAGAAAAGGCAAATATAAGTTTTCTGTCCAAATTTCAAGTCTTTACGAATATTTTTAACTAAATTACAACAAAAAACAAAATTTAAAATAATAAAAGTAATATTTTCGTAAATTTTCTTTGTTTTTCTTACGTTTTAAGCTGGGTTTTCCTGATACTGTGAAAATTGCTTGGAAAATAAAAAAATAACCTTCCTAAAATACTATCTAGTCAATATGACAATATCTTCTTTCAAAAAGTGCTACACTTACATATTAAAGCAAGATTTCTGGTAGAAATTTTTGTGACGATCTAAAAAAAAAAAACATTGTAAATACAATAGGTACATTCTTCTCTGCACTCGAAATCTAAAATATTATTTAAATTAATCATTCCAATTTTGATTATTTTGATATTTTATTATATCTTTGCAAATTGATTGTTCCAACTTAGTTTTCAACAATTCTATCTCACTCTTGAAAGAATATTGAGATTTATAAGTGAGAAGTGTTTCATTATTGTTTCAATGTTAAAGATAGGAAATTTATTTAGATAGAAAGTTTATTATTTAAAACTTAAACTTAATCAAATTCACTTAAAATCCTCCAGAAAATGACTGGTTCATAATAAAAAAAACCTACTAATACTAAATGTTTTCATCATCGTTTACTACTTCATCACATTAAAGGGCCCATATCATTTTAGATTCTGAGTAGAGCGAAGAATGTATTGCTTTTACAATGATCTAATAAATTGGAAAAACCTGGAAAATGTACGAAATGTATGTATTATAATTTAAAAATATCACATCCTTATTTTTTCCTGTGAATAACATTTCTACCAGCAATTTTACTCCGAATTATAATGGCAGTACTTTTTTGGAAATGAAATCTGACTGGGATGGTACTTTAAAGAGGTCATTTTTTGATTTACCCAAGAGTTTTCCTTATAAATGGAAAAAAAAAAAAATATGGGAACAACATAGGAAAAAACTGAATTTTGGTATAATATTAAACAAATATTGTTAAAGAAAATATTCAATGCATTTGTAATCATATTACTATAATATGACATATATATTCTTGACAAAGTAACATTATCAACCAAACTCTAATCAGAATCATTTTTTCGTTAGCAATGGTTTATAGTTGCTCACAATTATACATTAAATTTCACTTCTACTACCTTCCTAACTTCTTATCTATAATAATGGTTGCATCTGTCCTCATTATCTTAGGAAAGTATTTTAAGTTTACATTCTATAAATAGCATAGTTTATTCTAATTTTTGATCTGCTTTATTAGCACACTGACGGGACTCTTAATAAGCTATGCATAGTTTTAAATTGTTCAACACAATCCGATAATTGAAAAGTTTCGAGTTGTTATAAACTTACATCTGAATAATCAAGGCAGATAAGTTGTATATTTTGGATTTTTTAAACTGATAATTAACCAAAGAATCCATTTTTAGAATTATTTAATGGCAGTGGTTGCAAATCAATACATTCTGGAATTATATTTGGGGTTGCAAGAAGGACCCTTTGCAACCTCTCCATATATTACCTATATAGCAGGGATGGTGCAGAGTGCCACAAGAATATAATTTGAGTGGCACACCAATTTTAATATAATTCATAATTTATTTCTTCACTTTCTATGAAGAATACAAATAATGATCAATCATTTTTGCACAAACTAGATTATTTTGAATGGTTAAATATTGAAAATGTAGAAATATAATTTGTTAGAATAAATTTATTATTTAAATAGCAAAATGGAAAAAAAATATTATGAAATTGAGGACAGTATATATTAAAACCGAAAATCTAATTCTTATTGAATAGAATATTTTACTAAATTAATTTTCTTCTATGAAAAAAATAGCATTTTATTTATTAATAATGTTTTGTTTGTGTGACATGTGAACTACTATTTTGTTAGATGAATTTATTAAATTGACATTAAGAAATAATCAGATATTAGAGCAACATATATTCAATTGAAATCTACTAATTATAATTATATTCAACAAATATGTTTATTTCAGATTTTGTTATTTTTATGCTTAATACTTAAATATATTTTAATAATGATGTTCGATATGTTAATATAAATTTAAAATATTACAATACAAAGTTTGAGTGTAATAATAAATAAAGTCTACTTTAAAAGTATAATAAATTATCTATACAATAAACAAAAATAAAAGTCAATCAATTTGTTGGTTCACAGGGTTAGTAAAACCAAACCAAAAATTGATAGGAGGGTATTAAAAAGTTCTCCATTCTTGACCTATAGCCAATAAGGATTTAAATATTTATACATTATAGACAAATAGTTGGAAAAAGATCATAGTTAAGATAATAAAAAGAAATACTTCAAACACTACAAATACCAATGTGTATTAAATTAGTATATAACTGTGCCATTAGTATATAACTGTTTATTGTTAATTATACGCTGATGCATGACCTTGGTGAGTGCTTTCATGTTTTAGTGTCTTTATAGTGAGATTAGTTTGATTGTTTTATACAATTTTAGGTGTTTGGAATTTATACAATGGTTATTATTAATCATAATGTTCAATAATATTTATTGAATTATTCACACTACAGTTTCTTAGTAGCTATACTAAGTACTGGGTAATAAAAATCAGAATTTGAATAAATGCACAATTTAACCATATAATGCAGTGTGCATTTTTAAAAAATACTCTGTATATTTTCATATGACTATTTATTATGTGTAATATTGATAAATAAAAATTATAGAATAAGTATACAAGAAACTCCTATAAATTACAATTTATTGTATTTAATACAAGGTTACAATGTTTAATACAATTATCTTAATCTTAAATAATGATTTTTATCTCAAAAAACTTAATTTAATAATATAAAATATTATATACAATTATAATAAAAACAGTTTTAATTAAATTAATATTAAAAATAATAATTGGTGGTAAAAATTATCTTCAGTTATTTTTGATATCTTATTACTTATATATGACCATCAATGAACATAGACATATAAATATTAATATGGGTTCATTATTATACTGTATGTTATTTGTTTTATAAATAATAAAAGAAGGTACTACATGTATTAAGTACAATTCAATTTTCATTGAAAAAATATTGAATTGTAAATAAATAACAAAGGTCTAAAATTATATTATTTTAATTATCTTAGCTAACAGATATTTTAATATTTACCTGACTTATACTCCTAAAACTAACAATAATTTTTTACATATGAAAAAAATATTTTTTTGTATCTTAAAACAACAATAATTTATTCTATTTATACTATATATGTTAATTATTTTAGTTTGTGATATTACATTTTTATATTATATGTACATTCAATAGCAATGCTACAAAAAAAAAAAAATAATAAAAATAATAGTCTGTTACTAAACTACCCAACTACTCATTTTCATCGGTTATTTAATAATAAATAACACCGATATTAAAATACAAACATTCTTAAATAAATATTTTTAAACTATAGAATAAAAAAACCTTAAGTCACTACAATAAAATAATCAAAATTATGCTAAATAAATTAACAGTACTGAAATTTAAGATTTCACTACCCAATTTAAAATAAATCAATAATTTACAGAAATTGCAGATAAAAATACATCTTACTTTTTCGATTCAAATTATATGTCAAATGACAAGTGAGAAAAAAAAATTAATGGACACCTGTGCCATTTGAGCCGCACATTGGACATAATGGTCTTGAGCCAGCCTGTAAAACGGAGATAGAGTCTTTCACTGCATGAAACAGGATATTTTTGAGTTGCAGTTTGTCTTCATGATTAGAATGATTATCGGATAGATTGCGAAATTCTTGAGTCATGCGACATGAATGTTCGATATTTTCTGGAGATACAAAATCCTCAGCAACTTTTATACAATTATTCAAATTTCTAACCTGAAACACACATACAAATTATAAATTGTTAATTTAACATTTAACTTAATAAGACATTTTTGACATTGATCCATATAAAGGTTACAATTCCATTTATGATCAATGTAAGTCAATTCACACACAAAATTGAAATTGGTTTGATTGACATGATTTTTCATAAAATTAATCAATAATACATATTAAATACATTATATTTATCAATTATTTCTTCAGTACACAAAAACAATTGCTTTTTGAAAGACATAGGTATTTCAAGTTGTATATGTTACAGTTAGAATGCTGAATAAAGCTAGTGCTTTTATTATTTATCAATTTTGTTATTTGTTGTAATTCAGTTAAAAATATTTGTAAAGACTTGAAATTTGGACAGAAAATTTATATTTTCCTTTTTGTAAACAGTAAAATTTTCAAAAAATTTAAGCCATTTTTAAGCTATTTACCTATAGACATACTAACTTTGCAAGTTTTGTATGTAACTTTTATTCACTGTGTGGTAAAATTGTTAGACTTAACATAAATAATTGAAAATTTAAAAGGCAGTTCATTACAAGTTTTACTGTGTGGTTAAAAAAAAAAAAATGAGTTTAATGTAGTATTTATTTTTTTATTGAGGAGTTTTAATATCAAATTACCATGAAAATCGTTTGAGTAAAAAATTATGTGGAGAAACTTATAATTTAACAAAGATGATTTTTTTTTTTCTGTGCTCAGCTTCTGAAGGAGATCGTACTGGGAAAATACCTATGAGAAGTCATTTTTCGATTTTCACTGGATATTTCTCAATAAGTAGGATAAAACAGGAAAATGACGAAATGTAAGTATAAGTTAAAAAAGACGTCCTAGGATAATAAGAATGGGTGCAGCCAATGCTGTAGATAATTTAATGTATACTGTAAGCAACGATAAACCATTGCTTATGAAAAAACGATTCTGAGTGGAGTTCAGTTGATAATGATGTTTTATCAACAATGTATATGTCATTTTATAGTAAACTAATTAAATATGTTTTATATATTTTCTTTATTAATAATTGTTTAATGTTATACCGATTTTCCCAGTTTTCTTATATTTTTCAAATTTGATAAGAAAACTCTTCAGAAAATCGAAAAATTATCTGATTAAAATACTTCCCTAGTGAAATTTCCTTTTAGAAACATGGCATCACTATATGATGGAGCAAAAATGCTGGTAGAAAAATTGTCCACAAGGAAAAAGAAGTCCATAATATTATTAGATAATACTTACATTTCTTACATTTTTCCTTTTTTTTTTTTTTGGTTTTTCGCATTTGATAAGAAAACTCTTTAGTAAATCGAAAAATGTACTGAACTTAAAAATTTGAACAAATCTTCTGATATCAAATCATGAATAGTTATGTACAGATAATAAAAAAAAAAATATCTGTAAAATTATTAACTTTTCCGTTCCATTTAGAATTTAATATATTACATCATTCTTTTTTCCAATGAAAAACTATAGTATGTATAATAATAACATACAATTTGTTTTATTGAAGAACATAATATTCTCTATACATTTTAGTTAATAGTTTTCACCAAAACTTATTGTTTTCGAAAACCAATGAAAACCAATTAAAAATTAAGGATTTATTTATTTGACCTAAATGTTGGTTATATGATTTTTAGTTACAATACAGTGTTTTGTATAAGAGATATTCTATTTTTATTTTATTTGACACATTTAGCAGAACTATCTATGAAGAAATATTTAGTTTAACATATATTTTTACACTTTGTCAAAGCAACCATAAGTCTAAGGTATTGATAACTAAATATACATTAATTCAACAATATTTCTTTGACACAGTAACATGATAGCTAGTTTGTTGATAAAAAGAAAATAGTTTTGAAAATAAAATGATCTACCGAAATTAGTTAGATAAAGTATATACATATAAACAAGTATAACTATATACATTTTGTATAGATTACTCAATGCATACACAATTATCTAAAAAATTATACATTATACACAAAAACAAAATAATTTCACAACTATTTTTAGCCAGATTTAAAACATATTAAAGAAATATTGTTCGTCATACATTGGGAAAGAAAGTTATTAAAAATGTTGAAACTATAATAACAATAATATAAGTTAAATTTTTGTTTTAACTAAAAATAATTATAATGTGCATTGTGTTAAAATTAACTCTATTAATGTGAAACTAGAAAGTGGTAGAAAATATTTATTTCTGTTATTTCTATGCTCATGGTGATTGATACTTAAAGAGAATTAAAATTCATAAAATTACCCTATTTTGTTATATTTCAATCCCAGGGGGAAATTTGATTACAAAACTCTTATACAAAAAAAAAACTACATCATGCTCAATTTTTTGATTTTACTACTTTGTACAACTTATAATGAACTTTATAATAATTATCAAGCATTTATATTTGGTCTAACAATTTTATCCTCAAATTACTTACTGAATAAAAACTACATAAAAAAACTTTTAAAATTAAAATGTCTATAAATTATTAAAATGTCTTGAACATTTCACCACATCTAGTAAAAGCAAATATAAGTTTTCTGAAATAAATCTATACAAATATTTTTAATGAAATCACAACAAAAAATAACATTGAAAATAATACATTTTGTAAATTTTCCAATTTTTCCTAGTTTTTCACAATTATTATAAAAAACCACCTAAAAAATTAAAAATTACCTTGTTTCACTCAAAACTTAAAATTAAAAAAAAAAAAACCTGTAGGACAAAATTTATTTTAAAGTTCTATTTGGTCTATGTTATGTATAAGAAATATGAACATTTTATTGTGTTGTTTTCAAAAATACCATTCAAATTGGTCTTGTTCACCTTATTTATGGTACGTTTTAATTTGCTATAACTAAGATAAAAAGTACCTGGTGAGGAGCTCCTGATGGAATATACACTGCATCACCTTCATACTGAACAATTGGACAACATTTGACTCCATATTCATTAAACAGAATTGATATATGTTTTGCAGTTAGATAACATGTTTGATCATGAATTGGATCACTGTGAGAATCTCTTGTAACTTTATTGTCAATGTTATATTTGCATATCATGTTCTTAATAGTAGGTACATCTTTTGCATGAAAAATGTGCCATAAGGCACCTGGTATTTCACCATTTTTATAATATCGGTCCTTCTCCGATTGTGTACACCCACCTTCATCAATCGCTTTTAACACTTCCTCTATGCTGCAGTTCTTTGTAATAGCAACATGAACCATAACATTGACAGCGTCAGACATGTCCAAATGCAAGTTTGTAGTGCCTTGTACTTTATGTCCAGTACCTGCATTACCATAGGCTATGTACATTTTAGGACCCAAATCTGGTGTAAGGAAAAATTCTGGCAAATAAGAAGCTAAGTTAAATTTGCCAGTTCTATGTGTATACTCTTTCAGTGGCAATGAATCCATCAGATTTTCAAATCTGTCTGGTAATTTTTTTGCAAAGTCTTCTGATTGTGGCCAATCCTTAAGTTTCAACAACATAGGTGAACCTTTTTTATTACGCATTCTTTTAGAACTATTTTCAAATCCTTTCCAAAATATTGACATCCGTTGATTACAAATAACTCTGCCTGTAATAGAATCTATCAGGTCATTTCTTTGATTACCAAAATCTCGAGAAAACGATTCTGGATGCCATAATGATTTTTTCAAATTTTTATTCATACCACTGACTATTACAGGATTACCATTTATCCATTGTTCCTGCAAAATAAAATAACAATGATCCAAATATTTTCATTTTAAATTTATTACACACTAATACACACAATAAACCTAAATATTTTAAAATTGTATTTATTACTATATTAATTTTTTAAAGCTTATATATTTAAAGCATTTGTAGAATATCTCAACTATATTAACATATTTTACTAAATTGTCCATAAATATTCATACAAAAAATATATTCCTCACTATCTATTCCATTCACTCTCTCAAAACTATTTATTATTTTACAATACCAAATCAGTATAATGTAATTGGTGTTCTTCTTTCTGGTATTCAACCCTAAGTTTAGCTTTTAGTCTCCTATATTCTCTCCACTTATGTATCACTTATCTATTGCCATCTATCTAGCCTCTTCAATTCTCTAATGAATTTGACCTAGATTCCATAATTACACTTTTATGAACTATTCTCTTTCTATATTATCAAAAAATGTATGCATTACTTTTACTCAAGTTTTCATATTGAGCAACTATGGCTCACATTTTTGGTTTTTTTAGAAATAATAATTGTATAATACAATATTAACCTAACATAAAATATTTATTTTCTTAAATACCTGGAATAGTTTATAATTGGAATTAGATTCTGGATCCAATAGACGTAATAATTGTTTATCATACATCCACACATGTGGGGGGGTATCATTTGTGTCAAATATTGTTGGTAAATTGTAGAGTGGCACTCTTATATTGCGTAAATTACTTAAAAGTGCATCACGATTTTCCTTTATATGTAAATTAAATAAATTGTCTATACTAATTGTTATATTGACTGATGAAATGTATTGTGTGCCATTTTCAGGAGTATTGGCAGGTTGCTGTTCACAGTCACATTTCAAAGGTATTTTACGTTTGGCACATTCATCATGCATAAATTTTGAAATATTACCTAAGGAATCACCAGGCAATATTTGTGTAATAGTAAGCTGATCCAACCTATGTATATCATTATTGAAACATGGATTGCCTTCATATAATAGTACACTTTCTGTTTCAAGTGTATTACTTTGGGCATTATCCCTTACGCAATCAATACAAACTACAAATCCACATTTAAGACAGCACCAGTGATAGTTGAATATTGATGTCTTACACAAATCACACATTTCTCTTACACCTCTTACAGGTTTTTTCCATATTGGCTTTTTATTATTTTCATTCAGTGACAAACTTAATCTTAATGCTTCTTTTTCATCTTGAATAATTTTGCATAATTGACCTCCAACATCTTTTAAAATTTTTATTGAAGCGCCAATTTTGAAATCACTAGGAGTAGATGAGTATTTAATGGGTGCCCAGAGTACAGTGTCGGATTCAATAACATTTTCATACGGATCTAGAAATCCAGCAACAACTAACCTAGGAGTAGATGAGTATTTAATGGGTGCCCAGAGTAAAGTGTCGGATTCAATAACATTTTCATACGGATCCAGAAATCCAGCAACAACTAACTGTCCTGATTTCTTTTCCAACTTGCGAAAAGCATAAAACCTGCACTGAATATTATCATAACTCAATGTGGATTTAGAGGAAATGTATTCTCGACATTCACAGCAGTGAATTTCGTCTGTTAAAAGAAAACAATTACTCTCTTGTAAAAACCAAGTTGTCGGATGGTCTATTGTCGGGCGGTCTGTTGTCGGACGGGCTGTTGTCGGACGGGCTGTTGTCGGACGGGCTGTTGTCGGACGGGCTGTTGTCGGACGGGCTGTTGTCGGACGGGCTGTTGTCGGACGGGCTGTTGTCGGACGGTCTGTTGTCGGACGGGCTGTTGTCGGACGGGCTGTTGTCGGACGGGCTGTTGTCGGACGGTCTGTTTCGGACGGGCTGTTGTCGGACGGGCTGTTGTCGGACGGGCTGTTGTCGGACGGTCTGTTGTCGGACGGTCTGTTGTCGGAAGGTCTGTTGTCGGATGATCTGTTGCCGGATAGACTGTTGTCGGACGATCTGTTGTCGGACGGTCTGTTGTCGGATGGTCTGTTGTCAGACGATCTGTTGTCGGACGGTCTGGTGTCAGGCGTTCTGGTGTCAGATGGTCTGTTGTTGGACTGTCTGGTGTCGGACTGTCTGATGTCAGACTGTCTGGTGTCGGACAGTCTGTTTTCCGACTGTCTGGTGTCCGACTGTCTGGTGTCGGACTGTCTGGTGTCGGACTATCTGGTGTCGGAGTGTCTGGTGTCGGACTCTCTGGCGTCGGACTGTCTGTTGTCGTTTCATATGGTACTATTTCATCAGCAGATTGATTCTCAGAACTACTAGGTAAATCAATTAGTCTTTCAATTCTCCTAATTTTACTATAACTTAAATCTAATCCAGAATTATTAAAATTATAATTTTTTTCACAATCAAATAACATTTTCCTTTTCAGATTTTGGCATTTTTTCAAAGCTGTATATTTTTTTTTCGGTTCATCAGATAATTCACTGAATAGAGAACGAATAAAAGTGTCTTCCAAAACTTGATCAACTTTATCACCATTTAAATTATTTTTTTTAAGATTTGTATTTTCAGCTGGTAATAAATTCTCTGAACATTTATCTTCATTATTAACATTTGTTTTATTTAATGGCTCTTCTTTCTCTTGATTTTGATTTTGTCTAGTTTGGTCACACTGTTCACCATTGTTGGGATCATCATTTTTTGGCAATCTTGCATCTGTTTTAAACAATATAAAACATATTTTTATTTAAAAATATACACATTAATTAACTTGGTACCTACCAATCTGATAACTTTTTAAGTTAATATAGAATTAAATATATTTCTGTATAATATTTTAATTTTTAAATGGACAACAGATCAATGAAGTATATATAAATATATATATATATATATATATATATATATATTTATATATNATATATTTTTTTTTTTTTATGAAATAAATCAATCTTATAAATAATTTGATGGTTTTTTTGTTGTTTTTAAAATTGCATCAGATAAAGAAAAAAGTGTGTAAGACCAAGTCTAACTACTTCTATGTTTGTAAGTCGTGAATGATAACATTGATAATTCATTTTATATTTAAATAATTAGGTTAAATTAATTTACTATTTTCCATAAGTAAGACTATGGAGTTTTTATTAACCTAATTTTATTTTTTTATAGGAATATGTTATTTTTATGCAATTTTAAACAAATTTTAAATTAAAATATTAATTAAAAATTTACCCATTTTCAAAAATAAGTATAAAATTAATTTTTTTTTAAAAAATTGCACAATACTAATATTATAGTACATCTATAGTCCTAAAAATGTTGTAATCTATAATAGTTAATATATGTATGTTCATTTAATTTATATTAATTAATCTAGGGTCGTGGATATGTCAAGTATTAATAATTTGTATTAGTTATTTATTTATATAATTCATTCAGACAAAAGGTCCAATTATAATAAAAATTGTTTATCTAATTATTCAGGTTAAGAACTAAATTCACATTACTTTTAAATTCATAAAAACTATTAACAAAATAAAAAATATTGTACCTATTAGCTAAACTTATTAAACAATGAATTGGTGTTTTTGATACTAATTGATTACTTGCTAATGATGAATAAAACAAATTGACATTTCTTAAATTCATTTTAGAAACCTTAAAAATAATCATACATAATAATTTATATAAGAAAAATAAATCTAATTTTTTTCTTCTTATTTCTTAAGTTTTTAAATTTAATATACTGAGTAATGGCTTATAAGATGTGTGTGCTCTCTATATATTACAATTATTAGAAACAAATCATAAAAATCTATGTTGGACAGCTTCTTGTTCTTTAATTAAACCTATCTGATGTGGTGCTCACAGAGTGGAGTTATATTCAAAACATGATTGTACTAGTGAACAGTATAATGATTTTAAAGCAATAATATTTGTAAAATTCTCACAGTGGCGTCTTTCAGAACCTAATTGTTTTGATGCTTTATTTATTATTTTAGAAATATGAGTATTAAAAGTAAAATTAGATTCAAAAATAATTCCTAGACTTGTAATATTTTAAACAATTGGTAGTTTACAATTAGAAATTGGTATTTAAAAATTATAGATTCCTTATTCAGTATAAGGAAATAAAATTGTATTTATGCATATTTAAGATTATTTAGTTGGTTGAGCACCAGCTAACTATATTGTCTATATCTTTTTATAGTAAATATGCTTCATCAATGGATTTTAAAAAACCAATCATTTTGCAATCATCAGCAAATGAAAATAATGTAGCAAAACATAGACAAAAATTTAATGTTTATGAATATATTAAAAAGAAGTGGTGAGAGATATGATCCTTGTAGGACACCAGATGTTATATTTATAGAAGAAATTAAATTTTTGTATTTTACTATTTAAATTCTATTAGTGACAAATGATGTAAACCATAATAATAATGGATTATTTATACCAATAGAATTAATTTTCTATGATAGAATAAAGTGGTTAACTCTATATTTTGTGAAATCAGTATAGATTACATCTACCTGATAACCCTCAGTGACAAATTTTATGATAAAAATTATTAGTGGAGTGATTTTTACAGAATCCATGTTGACTATCGCAAAGAATATTTAATAAAAGGATTAATTTTTTTTTAGGACAGAAGTAATAGATACAGGTCATAATTTTTTGCAACCGATAAATTACTTTTTTTTTAATTGGTGTATCATATGAAATCTTTTAATATTCTGGATAAGGACCTAATGAAATTAACAAATTAAAAAGATATTAGATTATAGTAATAATATAGTTTATACAATAGAAAATTAACTGATAAGCCATCAGGACCTATTTGTGTGGAATTTATCTTTCTATCAGTAGTGTCGCCATCTATTTGGGTGTCTTTATTTACAATATAACCAGATAATTATTGTGATTTGTAATAATGTGATCTATATAGTTTCATAAATATCCACTAAGGTGGCCCTAGTAATGCGGGAAAGGCGATTCCCTCGTACTCCGTTTTGACTTCTGGTTTTTACTGATGGGTTCGATAAATTGCCCAGTAGCAGTAAATTGAACAAATATTTAAACGTTAATAAGTCACAAACGAATTACTCGAATAAATATTACTGTAAAGGTTAAAATTATTTTAGATTCATGTTTTTTTTTTATCTATGCACAACTTTTCTACCAGAAGACTTGCTCCGATTTCTACATATAGCACCTTTTCTGAAAGGAAATCGGAATGGGAAAGTACCATAAGGGTGTCATTTTTCGATTTTCTCAAGAGTTTTCCTATTAAATGCGAAACACCCAGAAAAATCAGGAAAATTTACAAAATATAATAAATATAATCTTACGATTTTTTTCTGTGGATATCTTTTCTACCAGCAATTTTTAATGAAACTGGTAATAACAGTGGCTAAGCCTATCCCCATTATCCTAGGATGTTTTTTTTTCAATATGTTTATAGATTTTCGTTACCGAAAATAGGTGTTGCCATTTGAAAATCAAAAGTTGATAGCGTTTAATAAACAAGGGAGGCAATTAAAATGTTCAAAATTATATCACAGTACAAAACAGGAAAAACTAGATAGTTCAAAACAAAATTATTTTAAAATTCCTAATACTTACTAAGATATTGACTGGCTTATGATAAAAAAATCACCCCGTAATATAATATATTATGTAAAGAGTGTTGCTCTGTATTTAGCAAAATACAATAATAATAATACGTATTGTATTAGAAACTGAATAATAAATGTCATCGATAATTATCATTTATAAACAAGGAAACAAACGCTGTGAAGGTTTTATAAATTTATTTGGTTAAATTGATTTATTTTTATTGTTTCTAATATTCCTTTTGTAACCATGTTGCTGTCAACTATTCAAGAACGCGTTTTGGTTTAGTTCAGATTTCTCGAACTTAACTATCAATCGATGAACTGTTCCCATTAGGCGCCTCATTTTGACTTATCTAAGATGGCACACTGTTTCAGCATAACTTTCATTATGGCAATAAAAAATGTTATAAACAATCAAAACACGTTCTTGATTAGTTAATTGCACTATGGTTACAAACAGAAGGTTAGAAACAATCAAAATATAAACTGATAAAACCTTCACTGCGTTTCATTGTGAAGTTTATAATGGACGATGATGATAAGAAAAACAGGTCGCCAATATACAAAAAATACTGGGAAATTTATATCCAATGTTCTTAATGGGACACTTATACATATAATTTCACCATATATGTAAATCAAAATTGACTATCCCTTAATGGCTTAAAAAAAATCGGACCTCCTCAGGGCTACAAGGTACAGTTGCTTCCTTAAATATGGGCTAGCTATATATTAATTTTCGGGACCTGGCTGAAGTCCCAATCAGTCCCTGATTACATTTTTTTTAAATAGTTAATATATTAAAACTTACTTAATGACCTCTTGAGGATTTTCTTTGTAGAGTGGTAAGATTGGCACCCTGATTTTCTGCATCGAAAATATGTAATAGCTCTTGTACCACATTTTTTTCTGTATAATTTTAACATGCCCCTACAAACTGTCCCATTTCTTTTTGAGGGACAAGTTTCAAGGGGCATGGCGGTATCTTTTTAGTTACTTATTTATTATATTCAATCTGAAAAATGTTTAAAAAAATTTAACTTTTGGATTCAAAGGTTTAAAATACCCATTATTGAAGTATTTTCAACATCTATCTTAAGCTACTACGTTATCAAGTGTCTATTGATTTGACGCAGACCAAAATATTGCGTAACCAATATATATCAAGAAAATACTCAACTAGAATCTGCATAGCAATATATTAAATTGGTTCAAATCTTACTAGAGTAATAGAGTAAATTAATTTAAAATAAACAGTATAGTTTCTTAACCTATTCAAATAAGTAACTTCAGGATGTTCTCAAGGAGGACTTTTATCAGCAGACCTATTTGCTATACATAAATTGTATACCTAAACATTTTAACATGGATAACATATTTGCTGACAATATGAAATTAATAATGTATGTAAACAATCTTGATATGATTGCTGACCCTGCAATACAACATCTTCCCTCTAATTGGTGTAAAATTAATAACATGGAATTAAATCCTACAAAGTGCAAAAAATCACATTCAAAAGAAAGACATTATATTTATTTCAACTATAATATCAATAGCACTCCAATTACTGAAACACAGCCATTAAAAAATCTACGAGTCATTTTACAAAGTAAACTATATTTTAGAGAACACATAAGTTATTTCACTAACAAAGTCAAACAAATATTAAAATTTGTGAAAAGACATTCTAAAGATTTAAATTTAACAGCAGTCAAAACCTTACATACTTCTTTAATACATTAGCTCCTAAAATATTCTAGTATTATATGAAACACTGTGTTTATTATAGATATTTCAAACATTAAAAAAATACAAGACCAATTCTGTAGATAAACACTCAGAATACTACCTTAACATCTTTAAAAAACAGAAGAATCATAAGTGATCTAATATTTTTTTACAAAATTTTAAATGGATTAATTGATCCCCCTAACACTTAAGTTTATAGTTTATGTTCCATGTATCCACAAGACCACAAGACCCATACAACTTCAACAACTCTTAACTTCAACAACCCTACCTCAAAAACTAACAAAATGCAAGGATCTATCATTAATCAAAGTAAATAACATACATACATAAATCTTTCATTTCACCTTAAACTAGTTCAAAAATGAAGTCCAACAAATTGTGTTATAATTATATATCCCAACTACACCTATTTAATTATTATTTTAGATTCTGAGTGGAGAAAGGAATGTATTAATTTTACAAAGATAAATATTTTTTTTAATTGTTTTATGATGTTTTTTTAGACAAAAGTAGTAAAGAAATTAAATAAATTTACATGTATGTCATTAGCTGCTTTCATTAATCTATAAATAGGTAAACCAAGAGCATAATTAATTTTCTGAAAAGGATAGTATATAGTTAATCCTCTTGTTAACATGTTTAATTTAAGTATTGAGCAAAGTACCTTTCTGATTATTTAAAAATAGCTAATATTAAACCTATATTTAAAAGTGACAATTGATAAACTAAATTCAAATAATTTAAATAATTATTAATAATAATTTCAAATAAATAATACATTTCATTAATTAATCGACATTTTATATTTTTCTGACTTTTTCACTTATTTTAATAGCTCTGGTTTTCCCATGACATACATATGAAATTCCGAACAAGTCTTTTTGAAATTAAATTTGGATTGAATGATACTTTCCATGAAAGTTTCTACTTGAAGTTACATTCTTTGGTCCACTGGGAGCCATTATCAGTAAAAAAATCTTATCAACGTTGGTGTTATGACCAGGAATGGCACATAAGTATTAACACATCAAAATTAAATTACATTTTCTTTCCAATATATCACTTTTTTAAAAGAAATGTAACCATTTGTCATGCATGTACTCTCATTTTGTACTCTCATCTCCATCGTAATAATAGAATTAAATGATTATTATCAGTAAAGATAATCTTTTCATAGAATAAGTGGAGTGTCTGACATAAAATTAAAGGTTTAAGAAAACAAATTTTAAAATATAATTTATAATTTTTGGTATTTATTTTATTTACACTTAACCAGGACTTTTGGAGAGTTTAATGGGACTATTGAGACTAAAGTCATAAACTAGTGACATATCCAGGACATATGGCAAACCTACCCAAAACTAAACACTATAATTATGAACCATACTGATTTTATTTACTGTTATGATTTATTTGGTGCAATATCTGGTATATAAAAATTAAACTTTAAGAAGTGCTGAGGCCACACAAATAACAAAAATAAAAAGGGTATCTATAAGCCACATATGACATTTCTCAAGTATTAACTACAGTAAAGTTTTAAATAAAAATTACCATGTTCAATGATTTAATTTTTTTTTGATATCTATATTTTTGATAAATAAAATATCCATAAATTTATCAAAAAAAATTTTTTTTACACAGTTTTTTCTCCTGAACAATTTATAAAATGTGTGCATACCTTTTATACAAATCACCATACTATAATAATACTGACAGATAATAATATATTGTTCTGTACGATTTCTACTATCTAAAATGATAATATTTTTTTAGATTGAAATAGATTTGGTGGAAACAGAAATCTACCTTTTTACATTTTGGCGGAAACAATATGCGCTATCATATACTACAGTAGTTAATAAATGATTTTTGAACAATATTCACATTTCCAAAATGTTTACCACAAAAAAAAAAAAAAGTTCTTAACATTATATTTTAATTAATTACCTTACCACATACCTGCAGTATCATATAATTTAACACATTTAATTTTAATTTATAATTTAAATCTTTAAAATTTAAAGCTATAAGTAATTTTTAATAGAATAATTAATATGGATATTATATTTTTTTCAATGTCTAAACCAAACCAAAAATCAAGTTTTATAATTTAAAATATTTGATCACATAAAACGTCTTAGTTGAGATAAAATATTACACTTCAAAACAAAAAATGCTTTATTATTAAAAATAAGAAACCTCTAAAGACAACAATATACCCGCATGTGCTATCTCAGTCCAACAAACGGACAATATAGCTAACCAGACTGCATAAATCTCGGTTAATTAATAGTAGAATCACCAATAATAAAATTAAAATAGTAGGTACAATATTCTAAAAAGCAAAACAATGTACTGTATCCTATTCTGGATAAAAAATTCAACACATAGTTTAGAAATAAAAAATAATTAATTTGTTTTTAAAATTACTGCAACATTTTAAAAAAAAAGAAACACATTGTCTTGCCCTCTGAAATATTATCATCTTTCAATTTTCCTTTAATACCAAAATTAAGTAAACTCTACACAGTCTATGTAACATAGACATTGCCCGTTAGTTTGACTAAAACAGCACACCCAGGTATAGCGTCCTATTACAACAAGACATAACATTAAAAAATAATTAAAACGTTTCATAACAAACAAAATATACCTACCTAACATTTCAAATCGAAAAACTATAAAAAGGAAAATAAAAAACATTTTTAAGTCCTTTAATAATCTCCTGGGAGAAGCAAGTTAATAATAAAACGTTATTATAATGTTTTCACAAATAAATTTGAGAAACATTATTTAATGAAAACCCTAAAATCAATGAATTCTAAAAACGTTTTGTTGTGGTTGAAACCGGTAAGTAAACGTTAGATCATAAAAAGAATTTCAAAATGAAACTAATTTGGAATTTCTAAACAATTAACTTTAACAATAAAAACGTGAAGTTAACAGATCTGAATGATTTTTATTCAGAATATCTACAACAGTGATAATAATAATAAAATTTACCTTGTTGTCAGAAAAATGATCAAAGAAATGTAGCCCCTGTTTAGCTTAGTTAAATGTAATAGAAAATAGTTCTAAATTAATAAAACATTTCAAAAATGTTTCATCATGAAAAAAAATAAAAAAATGAAAAACCTTTTTATCAAAAGAAAAAAGAACCATTCGAACGATATTAACGAGATATATTATAAAAAAAAGTTTTAAAAATAAACGTTTTTAAGCCCTGAGAATTTGGAAATAACAATCTTAAAAATCTACTTACTTAACGTTCGGTTTGAAAGTTTCATTTTCATTATTTGCTGTAACCATCCAAATGTAAGTTTGTCCAAAACACGAAATTGGAATCCAACAGTCCTCTGTCAAAGAAATATTAAATTATATGTTGTATTGTTCATCACAGAAAAACGACCACCTTAGTATTATTTATTATACTTTACTTTATTATTTTCTCTTTGATTATTAATCTAATAATAAGATCCAAGACTCCGAGACAAAAATGACGCGACTGGTGAGTATGTTGAAGGTTGAGGCTGCTAGCTGACTAATCGTAATACCAACTACAGGAAAATCAAGCGTCTAACAACACCGGCTACCGATGCGCGCGCAACTATAAGCAACCGCGCCACAGCACGCCCCGCGACGGGCGCGTGCACACGCAGTAGGTAATAGTTACGCCCGCATGGGGGCCGAAAGGCGGCCCATCGCATACCGAATATCGACATATATGATATATGATATTTCAAAAATATCATACATACATGAGGTCGGTTTATCGAGAAATTTTATATCGATACAACCTTACCGATTATATTGGACTCGATATCATTGAGTCTTTCGATATTTTAATACGATGAATCGTCGGGAAACCAATAGACATTATTAAAGGGCGGATATTCACGCTTCCAAAACGGTTTAATATATGCTGTATACAATTTTAAAATATGCTCGATTAAAATTAAATGTCATTATATGCCTAGAAAAAACAGTAAAAATATGCGCAAAAACATCAAATCTTACCGTCGGTACAAAAAATTTGTTCGTCAAATTCAGAAATAAATTATCACATTCGCTGCACAAATGAACTTTTGAAAAAAAATGAAAAATATTTATAATATACGAACATGTAACTAGGTACTCGCACGAACTACTAAACGAAAGAACTCGCGAAGATCTACGGACAACGGTAAACTGGCACGGTAATTCAGATTTCAGAGTTTTT